ATCTTGCCATGTCCTGACACTTTGAGTAAGACTGAATTTAAAGGTGACAGCCTAATTAATACTGTAATGGCCACAGAAAATTTCAATGCAGCACCACATTCAGGCCACGATATAGATATTGCTGACAACTTTTAGCCTGGTTTACTGTGAAAATTGGGAACAGAAAGCAGAGCTAAATGATTTTTAAAACTTGCAGTTCAGCTAGAAAAGTGCATGTAAAACTGGGGCCAAAGAAGGTGTGATGCTTATAGAAATTACAACCACTAAGAGATGCTAATCACTTTGCACAAAAACAGAAGGAAAAATGGCTTGAGGGGCACTTCAGAAATTTGYACTGGAAGCTCGAGGATATAAAAGGGACTAATCCTTTGAGAAGAATCACAGGAATGCTCTGCTTTACAGGGGGGCCTAGGAAGTTGCTGCACTGTGTTCAACCACCTGGGAGCCAGGCAAAGTGTAGTAGGGTTGGTATCTCATGGACTGCCCCTGGGGATGATAATGTGAAAGTCTGAAGGTGAAGCCAAAACCATTATAGAGACCCTGAGAATTAGGAGATGCTTTTATCTGCAGAGAAAAGCTGCAGTTGAGGTGACATCCAGGCTAAAAGAGAGACTATGGTCACTAAAAAAACCAAAGGTCAAAGAGGCAAGACTGCCCAAGCCCTCTGAAGAGCACATTACATTGTCATGTGTCCTACATGCTATGCCAGAAGTTCTGGGATATTTGCCTGGTTGGGTTTGCATTCTGGATTGTCCATATTCCTTTCTATGCCTTTTGRAATGAGAATATTTACTGTGTCACTGTATATTCAATATATGTAACTTTCTTTTGATTTTTACAGGGGCTCATAGCCAAGAGTTTACCTTGAGTCTCAGATGAGACTCTGGACTTGGACTTTGGGGCAATGCTGGAACTGTAAAGACTACGAACTTCTTGGAGATAAACTAAATATATTTTGCATTGTGAGATGTTCATAAGCTTTTGGAGTCCAGGGGAGTAATGTTATAGGTTGGATATGTGGTGTCCACCAAAAGCTTGTGTTAATGCTGTAATGTCCACAGGTGAAATGATTGGACTGTGAGAGCTATAGCCTAATTAGTCCATCCTATTTTGAATGAACTGCATGGTAACTCTAGGCAGGTGGGGCACTATTAAGAGGTGTGATACTGTGGTTATTCACTAAAAGAAGGGTACATCTTCCCTGTGGGGTGAGTCTCTCTCTGTCTGCTTCCTTGCTGCCATAGGTAAGTGGTTTTCCTCTGCCATGCCATTTGGCCATAATGTTCTGCCTCAGAGTGTAAAACAATGGAGTCAGCTGTTTATGGACTAAGACCTCTGAAACTGTGAGGCGAAATAAACTTTCCCTTCTTTAAGCTGTTGATCAGGTACTTTGGTCTCAGTGATGAAAAGATCACTAACACAAATGCCATGAAAAACAATTTGGAGATCCACAAATTCAAGAAATCATCTGTGAAGAAATGGAGATAAAAGTCATCTACAGAGCAAAAATCTAATATAAGTATGTTTAACAGGAGGAAAGTCAATCTTTGAAAATATTCTCCAAAACAGCACTAAGAAATAAAAGTATACAGTTTCCATAAAGGACATTAAAAAGGTTGTAGCTAGGACATAAAAAAAWTTTTCTTTCAGTCAGTTCTCTATGATAAAATGTCTCAGAACCAATGCCCAAAGGAAGCTTTTGCTCATTTTTTGGGCATCACACTCACTATGGCAAGCCAATCTCTCCATTTCTTCTAGTTTGAACTCATCATGAATTTCCCTCAATGTGCAAGCACTACACTTCATATCCCTGTATACTAAACCACTAAAAGTCCATGTCCCACAGGTTAGCTGTCATTGCCATCCAGGGCTGATAATACCTCTGTCACTGTTCTAACAATTAATCATTCAAATTAGTCAGAGGCTGTGCCTTAAGGCTTTAACCATTCTTAGTACATCCACTCATTTTACTGAACTATTATCATTTTTATTCCCTCAAAGTTTCCTATTATACCCTCCAGAAATCACATTCTGTCATCAGTCAACCTCTTATATCCACAATTTTTCTCTGAATATTCATTTTACCYTCTTGCATTAACTGAAATCTAGTTGGTTCATTTCCCTGACAGCTCCTGAACACACACATAAGCAATTTTTCTTTCACAATTCAGGGTCCCAGAAGTAGAAACAGTGTCTCTTTTGTTCCCTTTCATTATTTTCAAMCCAGTTTTCTTCCTTGTTTCTTCAAAATCTCCATCTTTCACTAACTCGTGTCACTAGAATATAGAATTCCATACCCCTTCTTAGTAGTTAATATTTTCTAAAATTTTAGACATGTCTTTTAGTTAAAGATTTCAGCCCTTGAATGACAATCATCTTTTTCTAGCTCCTATATTGTGATTATTCTTAGCAACTTCAAWATCCATAGGAATAGTTCTTTACCTTCATTCCCAATAATCTTTTTCTTTACCCTGACTGAGCCATTGATTAATAAGAATAGACACTTCATCTGTATCTCCAATAACTGACCCACCTTTGAAATCTCTATTCTAAATATTTCTCCTCTCATCCTCCCACCTTTTTTTTTCTTTTTTAGTTCTACCAGTCTAAAGTCTTTGGCTTAATTAAAACTGCTAAAAAGAAGTTACATGCAGGCCCTATGTTTTTATCACTCATCACCTCTCTCTTGACTTTTTATTTTTTAGCCTAGATTCCATGCCTCCTTATATGACTATTGCTCCTTTAAACCAATATCAAATTCCCTTGTTTCATTTATTGTACCTGAATATTAGTTAAATCCAACTACCTAATTTTGCAATTTTTGTACCTTTAATGACAATCAGCTTGTTTTTCACTCAACTACACATTCAAACTCATAAGGCTACCATAAAACACACTTGGCACTAGCTTGCTGAGAAACTTGTAGGAAACAGTATACAACAGAGTAGTATCAGGCACTTATCATCAGTGAAGTCCTTGTCCTAGTCCTTAATTCTTTCATTAGTAGATAATAAAAGCATTTACTTAGAACACTGGCAGGAATCAACAGACAACTATCAAAATTAGTAAGATYTGAACAAGACTAGATACCTTAGAAACTGATGGTGCTTCTATAAATGGGCAAGAGTTAATTAGATAAGAGAAAAACTCCAATTTACAAAAGCAAAGGAAATTGAACTACTACAGGATAAAGCTAGCACAAATATGCAATGAAAAAACAAACAAAAAACTTTATTAAGGGATATAAGATGACCTWAATTCATGTGGAAATGTACTTTGATATAATTTCAAATATTTCAACAGAATTTTCAAAGAATTTGACAAAAAGATTCTAAAACTCAAAAGTAATGAGAATGTCTAAGTTAAAAATGAAAAGAAAGAGAAGAACTATCTTATCTGATCTCAATAACATGTTATAAAGCCATAGTTATGAAAACAGTGAGAAAGTGAGGTCATAACAGTTAAGCAAATAAATAAAATAGCACTAAAAGAACAGATACTGAGCCATACATATATGAAAATTTAATAAAAAAGACAAGATAAAATCAGTGTTAAACCTGGTTTCTATAAAAGGAAAAACTTAAAACTTAGATCCCAAATTCTCACAGCATATACAGTACACTTGATACCTACATACACAATCCAGATGTTTTAAAAAGGTGGGAAAAAAGAACAAAGAATTAAGAGTTTTAGGAGAAAATATACAGAATATATTTACAAACTCAAGTCAAGAGCATGTTTTTAGACAATACATGTAAAGTGTACATAAATAAAAGTTAAATTCTGAGCAAAATTAAATCATAACCAATAGCCTATTGAATACAGCTGCAGTAAAGAACTAGTACTAAGAATATATTTTAAAAGCAACTAAAAAAGACAACAGATAATTGGACAAGAATATAACAACAGTTGGAGAATGCACTTAACTCAATTGAAAAGTATACAAAAAATGTAACATGTACCTTGTAACAGAGAAAATTAAAATATATATGTGAAAAAGATTAATTTCACTGACAATTAGGGAACACGTAAAAGAGAATCTAGACACTGACTATGCCATTTACAAAACTAATTCAAATGGATCAGCAATCTAACTGTAAAATGCAAAAACTCTAAAACATTTAGAAACTGGCATTGTGTTGTTAGATATAGCATCACAAGCATGTGTCATAAACAAATGTTAAGTTCTGCTTAACACTTCCTTCTGTGAAAAACAAACTATTAAAATCAAAAGCATCACACTGGGAGAAATAATCRAAAAATACATATAAAGGACCTGTATCCAAATACACAAAGAAATCCTAAAACTTGACAATAAGAAAAATGCATAAATCAGTATGTACAACTATAATGCATCAATAAAAATATATGGGGAAAAAAGACAAAAGATCCTAACTGTATATGCACCAATGATAAAGCCTCAAAATACATAAGTAAAACCTGACAGAGCTGAAAGGAAAAATAAGCAAATTTACAATTATAAATGTGGATTTYAACAATTCCTTCTCAAAAATTTGGTAGACAATACTAGACAGGAAATCAGCAAGAAAATAGATAATCTAAACACAAACAATAGGATCTTAAGTAACATGCATAGTAAGTACCCTCTACCCAAGAAAGCAGAATATACTTTTTTCCTCAACCACCCATGAAACATGAGCCATAAAATAAGCCTCAAAAACTTCAAAAGAGCTGATATCATAATGTATTCCCTGATGATAATGTAGTCAAAGAAGAAATTAATACAAAATCAGAATCTAAGACAGTCTAGATGCCAATGGGCTGGGGGAAGTAAAACACAAGTTCCAAAACTAATCTCAATGGAACGTTATATATAAATCTGCATCAAAATCCTTTTTCATAACTGTATTTTTGTATTGCAATAATGGCAATACACATAATTTTATACACATAAACCTGATTGTTTTAAAAGTAGTCATCTCACAAACCAACTTTAAGACCCTTCATATTAAACTGAGACTACTGTTACTTATAATAATTTATAATAAAATGAACACTTTACCTTCTAATGGAGTGTCTAAAAGACTGGCATGCTTTGTTTTCACATGAGTTTCCATATCTTGACCACATTCCTCTATTTTTCCACAAAATGGACATTCAGGAGGACTATACATTGTTTCATAAATTGGTTCTTTTATTTCAGATAAGCCAGACTGTTTTCCCCTACTTTTCTGGAATTTTCTAGATTCACTTAAGTTCTCTGAATAAACTTCTTTACGTTTTAAAGTATCATCCTCAGGCAAGCTTTGAGCTGAACCTTTTGGATGATTAGATGCACTAGCTGAATGAATACTTGAATTAACTTCCACTGTACTCTGTAGACTGTTATCCTTATTATTTGAAGTTCCATTCTGCATTGTATCTATCCTCTCAAAGTTTCTTTCCTCTAGTGTATTCTGCTCAAAATGAGCAGTTTCAATATGAAAACACATTTCATCATAATTTACACCTGACAACTTGCAAAAAGGACATATAACTTCATTTTCCATGTGAACAACTAGCAGGTGAGCCTTCATATCCGGTTCTGAGGTTACTGTTTCACCACAAATGTCACAGGAAAGCATGGTATGACAGTAGCTAGAATAAAGAACACAATATTATTTTAGTATCAAAGTAGGAGTTGAAAAAAAATGCCTTTCATAAGATGATTTAGGACAATTCTCTGGTAGTTAGTGCTGTATTATTATGATGAAGAAATTTTCAATGTACTTACTGTTCCTCAAATACACAAACTTATTGACATCTCAATCAAAATTTCTTTACAGGTTGAGCATCCCTAATTCAAAACCCCAAAATCCTACACAATTGAAAACTCTGAGCATTGACATGTTGCCTCAGTTGAAAATTCTGCACCTGACCTCAAAGGATGGGTGGCAATTAAAATACAAGCACATTAAAAACTTTCAGACTAGGTATATAAGTTGTTTCCTTTCAGACTGTGTATATATATATATATATATATATATATATATACACATACATATGTATACACATACATATATATATATATAAGTTGTTTATGAAACATAAACAAAGGTACACATGAAACAAAAATGAATTTTATGGTTAGATTTTGGTTCCTTCCTCAAGATATCAATCTCATTATGCATTTGTAAGTAGTCCAAAATCCTAAAAAAATCCTAAATCTACAACATTTCCAGACCCAAGCACTTCAGATAGGAGATGTTCAATATGTACTCTGTTTCAAGCTGTCAAAGGTAATAACAATGAAATCAAATAATTTTAAAAATAAAATATTTCAAAAGGTATATCTGGTCCAAGGCAGTAAAAAAAAAATATGTTTAAGAAATTGTCTGGGGGAAAGGCTCAGTAGTAAAGCCTTTGCCTAGCATGTGTGAAGCCTCAGCATAAACAACAACAACAAAAAAATTTCAATTAAAAATAAATTTAATTTCCAGGTAAAACAAGTCAGGTAAAAGACAACAAAGAGAAGTAACCTACGGGCTGTGGATTTAGCCCAGTGGCAGAGGGCTTGCAAGGAGGAGGGAGGGGAAGTCACCTATTTATTGAATGATTGACCTAAATATAGAACTTTAAGGTAGGTTATAATGGGAAGGAGAACTAAACATATCTTAATGGCATTTCAACAACTTTAGATATATCACACTAATTGAAGTATTATTTAATATCTTTCTACACATAAAGAAACCCACGATAGGACAAGGTAGCCAGGAAAAGGTGGAAGCCAAAATGCTAACCTGGTCATGCGCCACAGCCTGTATTCAACCCAAAGGAGAAAAGCCAAGAAGTTCTAATAGAAACTTATTTCCAAGTCTAGAAAACTGTCTTACAGCTTCGGGTTTCACCATTAAGTGGTGTCATCTCCTTGAGGTTCGGTCTGTAAAATGGGTTGTGTTAACAGTTACTTTTGGATTTTATGAAGTAATAAAGTACTGACAACGAATCAGGTAGTGTTAATAAGTAATTTGTAAACAATCACGGCCACCACCCTGCTACTACAGACCATTGTTCAACTTAGAACTATTCTATAACAAACAGGAAAAGAAAAATAAGGACATTATTTCCTTCATTTATATATATTTACAGGCCTCCCTACCCTGTCCTCCTTTTCCTCATTTCTCTACATGCAAGTGAAAACAAGTCTCTGATTTTAGAAGGAAGTTCTCTTGGTTCTCTAGTGCTAGGAACACCACACTAGAGTTTATTCTAGCGGCTAGGACATGGCACCGGATACACTTGATGTAACAAGGCTCAGAAGTGAGAGACTGAAGGCCAGTGGCAGGAGTCTCCCAGGGTACCAGGTCAGGTTGGGGCGGGGCAAGGTGCCAGGTCAGGGATGGGGTGGGGCAGGATTTTCGCAAGGCGGAGTCTGTCCAAGTTCTGCGCCAAGGTCCGGAGCTAGAACACGAAACCGATCCAGACCCTAACTGGGTCACAACTTGAAGCCGGAGGAATCAGAACGGGGGCCGTCAGTTCTTACCGACCCGGGGTCCAGCAAGTGCCACACTGCGCTCCGCTCGGCTTCCTCTTCGGGTCCGGCGCTGCAGTCCGGCCGTCGGTCCCGCCGGCAGAGGAGCGAGCGCGGGGAGTCCACTACCTCTCCCGGCCTGAAAGACTACGGCCAGACTCTCCAAATCTTCAAATACCAAACATTCACAGCCAGAAATAATCAGCGACACCCCCAAAATCCTAGCCCCAATACTGCATTCAAGAAAAAAAAAAAAAAGAAAACAATTCCTCATTGCCCGGGACGGAAGGAATCCCAGTGTGCCCCGCTCCGCGCCGGTCTGCGTTGCAGTGCATTCTGGGAGCTGTAGGCTTTGGAGATTTTGTTTGTTTGTTTGTTTTCTGTTCCGTTTTTGGATTTTTTTGCATCTTTCCCTATAGCAGATTTGATCCTGTCATTAAGAGTTGAACACCTGATCCACTAAGAAGAGAAATAAGACTCTAAGGATTTTAATACCACATTTGAGCAAATATATTGGGTGGGTCTTAAAGCAAACAGGAGCCTAACTTACTCATTGTCTAGAGTAGTCCTCTATTCTAGTATCAATAAACGGTCTGTGTAGGTGTCAAGCTAAAAAATGTGTACCACAGTTTTGGACTAAGATGTTTTTTCCTCATTGTTAAAATATCACCCATAGCTAATATTTGTCTTTCAGACCATATTCAACAAATATTAAAAAGCTGTACCTTAAAAAGTCATTCTATACTAATTTTAAAAATATGGGGGGAAAGGCATTTTGAAAGTAGAGCTGCAGCAGTAACCAAAATACACAACATCCGGAACAATTAATGTTTACATTCTGGTGAGTCATAGAAAATAAATAAGTAATAAACTAATCTTGACAACTGCTATGAAGATAACTAAAATTGGCTTAAAGAGAAATTAATGTTAGGTCTCTGTGAGGAGGGGAGGGTGCTGATGAACAAACCCATCAACAACATGCGAACATTTCAGTCAGATAAAATGACAACAATGAAGTTTTAAGGCTACAGTCAAAACAAAACACTTTGGAATTAGAGCAAAATGTGCTATAGAAAAGAATAATTACAAGATAAAGCCAGAGTGGTAGATAGTGATCAGATCATTGTAGGACCTTAAAAAAGTTACTGGGATATTTAAATAGGTGGATACATTATGTCATATCCAAAGCCTAGTTGTGCCAGTGCAGCAGGATAGGTTTGTAACAGTGGTCCATTTTATGCTTTGAATATAGCCTTATTGCTCTGCCACTGTGACTTATTTTTAAAAGAACATGTTTCTCTTCCTTTCTTCTACACCTCCCCAATCCCTTCCTCCTCCCTAATCTCAGAGGAAATAGGATTACCTTTCTTTCCCATCTGTCCTTGAGTATACACCACCTCAGGAATACAGTAATTCAGATTTTTGTGGGTGGCACCAAAAGAGCTCCCAAATTAACAAATGAATTACAACTCTGGACAGAACGCGTGAAATGTAGTTTTTGAATCACCTCTTTAAAAGTCCCCTGCTCCCCTTGAGGGACAGAATCATAGCCTCTGGGACAGGAGTCCTCTGTGTTTCTCCATTGATACCAAATCAATAAAACTTCTTTTCCCTTTTTCTCAAAACTGTATCCTCATTGTTAGGTTGGCATTGAGGACAAGGACTGAACTTTTAGTAAAAAATTTGGCAACCCAGATGGAACTCAACAGCAACCTCTGTTTCTTGGGCAGGCCTGACTCTCCAAGCAGCCTCACTTTCATGTGCTGAGGATGCAAGGTGGTTGGAGAACGTGTTGAGGGCCAATTGCAGGAATTAGGAAAGTTTGCTTCAGGTGAAATCAGAGGAACTATTCCTGTGAGTAAGGGGAGGGACTGAGAGACTCTCCCAGCAGTTGCCTGAGCTTTTCCTGCATCAGAAACCCCAGCCTTCCTTCTCTCCTAAATTGTAGGGTTGCTCCATCTTGGGCCACTTTGAAAAAAAGGAAACTGAACTTAGTAAAGTAGCCACATCGTTGGCCAACTGGTGAGTTCCTCAGGCATTGAGACCCTCGATTCTACACATCTGGTTCCTCTTCATGAGAACATCTGATTCCTCTCTGTGGGGACATCTGTGATGCCACAGGTGTAGGAGACATGGTCAAGCAGGACTTGAGAACCTAGAGATATTTACTTATTTCAGGTCTGTTCTAGGTTCTCATTGGTTTGTTGGTCTTGAATTTGGKAATTCCTTCTATATGTCTGTTTTTGTTTGTGTCTGTTACTACCTCTTTTAAGACATGTTGATTTTATGAGTAGTCTCTTGGGAAAGTTCTTGGCTGGTCTTTAAAAGGTTCCCATCTGTCAGTCAGATCCTTTCTGGTTGTCTGTTTCTTTTTTGTACAATCTTGCAATTGGAGTTGGTCTGTCAGAGTAAAGTGAGGTGAAGAAAGGGCCACCTATACTTATAAGCCTAAGAAAAAGATAATATTTTACTGTAACAATCTGGCTTTGAATAGCTTTCCAAATTATACAGTCTTGCAGTTGGAGTTGAGCTGTCAGATGTACTGTAAGTGGAAGAAATTCTGTATGAGCAGATCTGTCTGTTTTAAAGGTTCCCGTCTGTCAGCCATGGTTTCAGGGTTCCTCTGGTTCACTGTTTCTGAGTTTCTTTTTCTAGTATCTATTACTGGCCCTTTAAGTATGGGCCATACTACATTGATCTTACCACCAGTGTCTCTTAAAAAGAAATATCGTCCTGAATGGGCCACCTATTGATAGAGATAAGCCTAATACCTGAGGACACAGGCATAAGGCTTTATTGATAAATGCTTAAGGGGAAGATCCAGAAGTGACAGACTGAACAGATAGCACCTGTCCCTGAAGTTGCTTTGCCAAGCAGTGCCTCTTCTCCCTCAGTTTTTTGTTCAGCGGTGACCAGTAGGTCGAATGATATGTGTCCTTTCCACAGTGCCTTCAGTTCTACCTCAGTCACCACTGAAAAAGGGGTTTTATATGTTACCCTGTAGAAGCAGTAATATAATCAGTATTCGCTTGTTTAGTTTGTTTGCRTGACCAGCTTCCCAAGGAGCAACAGTCCTGATGTTAAAACAAGAAAATAACTTTATACAGATAACATTAACTTGCCCTAGTTCTCAGAGTATAAGAGAAAGGGTGAGCCAGTGTTCTGTGTGATAATAGRCATTTAGACATATTTAGCCCAGGTACTGTCATTGTTTCCATAATTTGGGAAGGTTTGGGGGAATTGATAGGGGGGCATTCAAGGACATGGTGTTGTGCTGTTCATTTTTCTTTAAGGATGGATGCATGATCTGATGATGCTTTTTTAAAAAAGCATTCTGGGGATTTTGTGGGTAAATGTGGTAGATTGAACATGTACATTTACAATTCTCTGCCTCTCCAAATCTAAAATGACAAGAATTTGCAGATATAATTAAGTTATGGATCTTAAAGTGGGGAGATTATTCTACTGGGTGAAATGTAGTCACAACAGTTTTATGATGAGGCAATTACCAGGTCTGTGTATTTTGTTTCTCTGGAGGGAGCAGAAAAAGGAAATAGAAAAGGGGGAGAGTTGCTAAGAGATTAAGGTAGATATAATCCTATTAATACTTCAAAAGCCCTGCCCATGTTTCATTTGTCAATCAAGCAGCTCTCTTTGTTTCTCAGCCACACATAAGCACAGTTAAATAATTTGCTTATTTTTCAACTGTTGAACATAGTAAACCTAACAATTTGTCATGTTCCCCTTCACCCTCCTAAAATATTGCAAATGTCTTCAGGATAGGAATTATTGCTATGTATCTTGTGAATTTTGTGCCTAGCATCACATCTAGAATTTAGTCTGTTTTCAATACTGGTTTTTGATCTACAGGGTGGCTTAAGGGCTGTGTATTTGGGATAGATTTCTAGAGCATTTGATCTGGAATTACTATTCATTACATACATCAGTGACTACATATTTGTCAAAACCTTGCAGATATTATAGAACCCCAGATTATATATGAATGGCCAATTAAGAAGGTTGAAACAAATGAGCATATAGGAAGAAGTTCATGAAGGCGAAAGACAAGGTGTAAATTTCATGCGGCTGGAATTTTTGCCGTTTTGTTTTGTTTTTAGTACTGGATCCCCAATACCTAAAACAGTGGCTGGCACAGATTAGGCTTTCAATCAATACTAGGTTGAAGGATGGATAGGTGAATGAATGAATTAATGAATGAATCAGAGCTCGCCTCCTTAACACGTGTTAAGCTATGGACAATAGCGCACAACCTGATCACTGCAAGCCTGAAGAACCCTAGGCTTCAGTCAGGCTGCTTCTCCTTGAGTGGGCGTGGCTGAGGCGTGCACTTCACCCCGCCCCTCTGCTAGTCTGTGCGGCCACGCCTCCACCGCCGCCGCCGCCGCCGCCGCCGCCGCCGCCGAGCGCAAGGGCTTCTGGGAGCCAAGCCTCGGGGTCTCGGGGAAGGGGCTCAGGTGGCCGCCATCTTGGAATGCGAACCGGGTCGCTACGCTCGCGCTAGGTTAGGAACGACCGCCACTCTGTTACCTGAAGCCGACCTTATCTCCGCCCGCACTGGAGTCAGGGCACCGGAGAATATCACATTAATGGGTAAGTGGGAGTGACACAGGCCAGTTTGGGGAAATCCAGGCTTGGTCCTTTTGAATTCCATTAGTTCTTGTGGCCACTGTTTTTATTGACTCGTTTCCTTGCGAAGGGTTCTCGACCTGGCCTTAACAGGGTGTTTCTCAGATTTTCCAGAGGGTGACAGCAGTCGTGGGGGCGTGGCAGCCCGACTTTCCGTTGTAGATAAGAAGGCGCTGTGAGAGATTCTTTCTGACAGCCAGGCTGGTCCTTGGAAGGAGCTTTAGGCAGCAGATCTGATCCTCACACCTCAATCGCTCACCGTTTCTGGGTGGTTCTTCTCCGWACGTAGTCTTGCCAAAGGTTGCTGCTCACACCCGGTAACTAGTGGCTGGGAGTTTATGGAAATGCCACAGTGCAAGAGACAGGATCCTGGGGTTACCTACGTGAAGCAGTTCTACCTCCTCCAGCTGCCCTTCTTCTACCTGCTGGCCTGAGAGCGCTCAGTCCAGGATTCCACACGTCTCCATTCCAAGATGAAAAATTTAATAGTGTTTAATCGATAATGCGTGTAAGGATTTGAAAGCATAAAACGCCGGTGGTACTTCAAAAATATGGAGCTGACATTAACTCTTGACCTTTTTGAATACATCGAAGAAAGATAAAAGACTTCTGACTTCGTCTCGCAATTTCGGTACTCAGTAATGAC